TTCTTAGACTAGTTATATGTTTCCGATCTACAGGAACGAGCATGTCTTCTTTCCTTTCCTTCCCCCTCCATCCCTTCTTCTCTCCTTCCCCCTCTCCCTCCCTCCACCTGGCATGTTTCTCTACCTCCCACTCTCTCTTTCTCCATCCCTTTCACTGTCCATTTCTCTCCCTCTACCTGTACTTCCCTCCTGCTCTCTACCTCTCTCCCTCCTTCCTCCCACCTCTCTCTGTCCCTCTCCTTCTCCTCCACTCCATTCTGTGCAGCCCGATAATCCCCTTTTTCTGATCCTACCCGTATTTAAATGTAATGAATAAATAAATAATTACCGTGGATCCCACCGCTGCCACCACATACTGTTTAAATGAAAGTGCCCTTTTAAAACCAGCATATAATTGTATTCATGTTGTATTTGACTTGAATACAATTAAAGTTTTTTTTTCCTACTGTGACTCTTTGTATATGTGTGATAATGAGTAGGCTCAGACCTCCATTTTAAAAGCCCCATTGGTTGGAAAACCTATCAGTCACTCAAATCTGTCAAACTCCCAGGTAAAGATTTAAGATACCTGCAGCTGGTGTCACATGAATTACACATACTTTAATTCAGATGGGGAAACAAGGGGGCACTATCTCCTTGTATTACAGCATCCTGTTACATGAGTGTTTGCCGTGCCCGTTTGTATTGTTACCTACTTTTTAGGCCCACCTTCACTAAGCTGAAGCGATTGGCTGGAAAATATCACTCGCGCCCTGAAAGCGAGTGGATTGGTGAGTGGCTGGCATGGTCAAGCGCCTAAGTGCTTTAGTGATGTTGTACCAGCACTCTTGGGTTGGGACGCACTGTTATTCAGGTCTGCACCACTGTTGCTCTTAAACTGCCGTGGATGCACTTATTTTCTCTCATGTTATAAAGTCACTCTGGATAAGGGCCCCTCGTAAATGTCTGTCATGTAATATAATGCTGTCTCGTGGAACCGCTCTCCTTTAGCCTGGTCTGTATTGGAGAGAGACAAGCCTGGCGCCCAAAGCTATTACAGGGCTAGCCTCCTGTGTCTGTCTCACTTCTTTGTGTTTCAGATACAAGAAAGGTGAGCCTACCTGAGCCTGGCCAGTCCTGGGTTATGGTAAACCGAGATTATCTCTAAGAAGCTCACAACAAGTGGTCATTGCAGTTTTGGTAAACTGGCTTCATTTACTCGTACTGAGATTTTTCCACAAATATGGGATTGTAAAGGAAGGAAGTTTGTGTTTCCAGATCTTCTGTCCTTCCTGTCATCAACACATTCATGTATTATATTGAGGCCTTTGTGTGGTGCACCTGCTTGCGATGCAGCTGTGGTTCCTACAGCTTGGAGGTCAGTCCACATGTATAGGGAACAGCCTCACCAGGAACAGGAGGGATTTAAGATGGTTAAAATGCTCTCTCTTTGCTCTATGGTGGCCTCTCCTGGCCAGTCAGGCAACTGCAGGTCAGTGAACCGAGCATCTGTTGACTTTGTGTTCCTCAGACAGCGTAGGCATCTGGTGTGTGGGGGCAAAAAAGCAAAGGCCGGTCATCACGTGGATCAGAGGAATTATGTGTGTGACCACTTCCTGCCCAGTCTGTGTGAGCGAGTCACCTTGTGGGTTGGAATACAGTTTGGTAGGGGTGGGAAGAAATGGGAGAGGAAAAAAGGCATTTCACAGCGGAGGATGGGCTTGCCTTTTGCTTTGTCTGTGAATGGAAGCAGCCATCGCCCAGTTCTGCTGCTCGAGCAGGAAGGGTTTCCCTGTGACTGGGCTGTGCATCACCCACGGGCAGCTGTACTGTGGGTTTCACCTTCTGTGGGCTTTTGTGCGGAGCTCCATCCGGCCCTACAATGACAGCCTTTGTGGAGCGGTATTCCGCAAAGCTCGGTAACGTGGGATCATAACAAAGCTCGGCTGTCTCCCTCCAGCCCGAGACTCTCTCTGATTCAGCTTTGTGCCAACGGCAACAGCCCGGCTGTGTCTCTGCTGTGTTTCAGTCAGATTTATGTCACATTTCAGTTTCATTTTGGGTGGATTGCAGGTAGATTTATGTCGCATTTCAGCTGGGATTGTGTTGTATTTCAGTTGAATTTAGTTCACATTTAAGTTGTTTTTCAGTTGAATTTATGTAGCGTTTTCTCTAGCCTTCAGGTCACCACCACTTGCAGTTTCCTCTTTTCCCTTAAGATCATTTGCTTGTAAATGAGATATTTGGGATTTTTTATGGTTTGGGAGGACCCGGGTGAGTTTTTTTATTCATTGGGCATGTTGTCCCCCTTTCCTCCCTGGAAGGTTTAATCCAGCCCTTTATTTCCTGAGATTTTAATGAAACCTGCAGCACACACACCAGAGCACAACCAATTTATCTGCCTCGCCCAGACCCCCAATGCTCTGACCCTCTCCGCTCTAAATCTTCACCCTGTTGACCTCCTCTCTCTCTCTCCCCCTCTCTCCCTCCTCCATTTCTCTCTCCTCTCTTTCCCTCCTCCATCTCTCCTTCCTCTCTCTCTCTCCCCCTCTCCCTCCTCTCTCTCTCTTGCTCATGCCCTCTCATTCTCTCTTTCTCTCTCTCCTTCCCTTGCCCTTTTTCCATCTCCTTCCCCCTGCCCCCACTTTCTCTGTTCTTGTCCTATCGCTCTTCCTTGCTATCTCCTCTACTTCTCCTTGTGCTCTCTCCTTGTGTTCTCCTTCCCTCTTTCCCTATCTTTTTCTATGTCTCTCTACCTTTCTTTTCCCTTTGTCTCTTCCCTGCTCTCTCTCTTTCTCTGTTTCTCTCTCACTCTCTTTCTCCCTTTTTTTCCCTGTATCTAATTCCCATCTGTTTCTCGATCTCTCTCCCTCCCTCTCTCTTCCCTTCGTCTCTCCCCCATCTGTTTCTCTCTCTCTCCCTCCCTCCCTGTCCCTCTCTCTCTGTAGGTGTTCTGGGGTACCGAAGTGTGCCTGAATATGAGCAGTGCTTTCCTGCGCAGATGACATGCTTTTGTGCTCAGACTGGGTGGACTGCAGAAAGCCAGTCGGTGCAGAGTTAAAAAAATGCCTGACACAGTGATATATTGCACCTTTCTTTGCTGTGGCCATTTCACTGTGGTTCCTGATTCCCCTGAGTACAGTTTTCCAGAGCCGGTGTGTGTGTGCGTGTGTATGTATGCATTGCATTTGTATGTGTGTATTTGTGATTGTGTGTATGTCCATGCACTTGTGTGCATTTTCTTACTGTATGAAAGGGTTGGTAGTGCATCTGTGGGAAAGGTGATGACCTTTAACCTCTTTAACACTCATATATCTCACCCTCTATCCCACTCTCTCCATCCTCTTCTCCTTCCCCTCTTCTCTTCCTCCATCTGTCCCTCAGATGGGCCACTTGGTGGGACTCCGCCCCCGTATGCTATGATTGGTTACGATGCGGAGCGTGCAGAGGAGCAGCGCCGCCACCATGACATCCTTCCGTACATCGACGACTCGCCGCTGTCCTCCCCGCGACTCAGTGCCAAGAGCCGGGACCGCAGCAGCCGGGAGCCCCTGCCCCCGCCTCCACCTGCACCTCCAGAGCCCGCCCCCAAACCTGTGAGTCTGAACTAGCAAAATGACATCATAACTATGAGACAGACAAGCTATGACATCATAACTATGAAACAGACAAGCTATGAAATCATAACTATGAGCCAGACAAACTATGATGCCATAATTATGAGACAGACAAGCTATGACATCATAACTATGAGCCAGACAAACTACTCTGTCTGTGGTATAACATCACCTAGCTGAAGGGATGCTCCCTGCTATCATATGACACTGTTCAGTGTGGTGGTAACCTCACTCACCCACTCATAACTACGAAATCATTAATATGAGTATGACTAAGACCCATGTCAATTATGGCATAACATTTTGCTAGTAAACCAATGGTCATTTATGACTTGTGACTAATCAGGGTCTCATGTAGGCAGGACTCCAGTTAGAAGCTGCTGTTCAGAGCCAAAAAATTGTCTGTTGGCTTTTCTGTAATACAGGCAAACTGAAACAAGTTCACCTAAGAAAACCAAAAATCTTACGGCAGTGCTTGTTTTTCAGGTGCACTGTCAGAGATTGTCGGAGTCTCATTGTGTTTTTCTGAACAGTTTGCTGTTTCTCCCAAACACTTTATTGACCTTTGACCCTAAACCCTCTGAGCTCAGCCTTCTGGTTGGGCTGAAACAGAACTGCAGCTGAATTCAGGTGCCAGGGGCGCTCACAGTCATCTACCTCCCTTTAGTCTAACTAGCCCAGAGCTTGTCCCCTATGGACATCTCCGCAAAATGTTAACAGTCTGCAAATTTTAAGAGTGAGAAATCTCAAAAGCCTTTCTGCTCAGTATGTGTGCGCTTGGCTCAACCTTCATACTACACACACATCATAAATGACTCTCTCATTACTGCCATGTGTGTTTGCCTACATTTCCCCAAGGGAACACTTTAAGATCTGACTGGTACTAGCACAAATAGCGCTGATGGGTCCAGGAGGATTATGCAAGGAAATAATAATAAAAACAATGATTTATAGTTACTGTTATACTAGAACATATATAGACATCAATCATTATTTTTATAGTTATGTAGGGGCACAAATTAGTGCTGATGACTACCAAGATCATTATGTGAGGAAAAAAACAATAATTTATAAATCTACCATTTTAGTCAGAAAATACTGTACCTTAGATTCATCTAATTAGCCTAGCCAACCACTGCCCCCTGTTTTGTGAGTAATGCTTTAGCCAATCAGACTGCTGGATTAGAGGTGAATTAGCCTGTCATGGCAGACTCATAACCTTGCAGTACTCTTTGCCTGACCAGCTAGTTAACTAACAGTTACCTCTCTTGGGAAAGAAGACATTGCTTAAATGAGGGTCCAATCAGAGGCGGGGTCACCAGCCAAACCGACCAATGGCCTCTAACACAATGCGAGTTGAATCTTGATGGAACCAGTCATGTTTTTTTCCTCATATAGTGGTCTGGCTTGTTGGTCTAGGGGTATGATTCTCACCTTGGGTGTGAGAAGTCCTGGGTTCAAATTCTAGACAAGCCCTCATAAAATCGTTGTTTGTTTAAGAAATTAATCAATAGCAGGCACCTTTGATACTTAAAACAATCCTCGCCTCAAACATGAGAAAAATCAATGTCACATGTGATCACATCTAGTATTGACCTTTTTCCCGAGTTGTAAGTCGCTCTGGATAAGAGCGTCTGCACAATGCCTGTAATGTAATGTTGCAGGAAACAAAACAAAGCTGTGGGTTGTGCGTTTGAGATACTACAGTGTGGCACAAAATACGGTTTTCAAATTTCCTGTTTCAGCTTTATGTGTTGTGTTTTCATTTTTCTTCATCATACACAAGACTGGGTGAAATAGTGGTGTGATTAAAATGACAGGAGCTCAACAATGGCAAAACGTTTGATTCAGTACTGTCGCACAAGCATTAGGTACTCTGCTGTCATTAATGTCAAGGTTTCTGTCCATAGACCTTTGTCACGATACTGACAAGCTGAAGGCAAGAACAAGCTGGTGTGGTTTGTCAGTTCGGCTGGTCTGTTCAGAAAAGGGCCAGATCACCCTCTCTGGTTCTATCTTTCTGTGACTCTGCCTCTGTTTGTCTCTCTGACTTTGTGAATATTTTATGAATAAATGATGATGAATGAAAGATGAATGAGATTCCCCTGCGAGGGCTCCTGGCTGAAGGATCATGACAGTGTGTTCCCTCTTCCCACCTCTGCGACTCAGAAAAGGCCTTACAGAGTCTCTGTGAGACTCACATACTTTTAATTACGCACTAATGGGGAAGCCACTTGCTGTTACACATACGAAAACACACACTGTATCTCTCTCTCTCACTCTCTCTCTCTCTCACACACACACACACAGACACACACACACATGCAGTCATAGTTTAGCTGTAACTGGGCTCTTGCTCTGGGCAGGTGGAGCTGGATCTGGAGAAGCACAAACACTCACTCACACACACACACACACACACACACACATACACTCACACACAGACACACACACATGCAGTTATAGCTTAGCTGTAACTGGGCTGTTGCTCAAGGCAGGTGGAGCTGGATCTGGAGAAGCACAAACACACACACACACACACACACATACACAGACACACACATACACACACACTCACACACACACAGACACATACACATGCAGTCATAGTTTAGCTGTAACTGGGCTCTTGCTCTGGGCAGGTGGAGCTGGATCTGGAGAAGGGGCTGGACACGAGGACACACACACACACACACACATACACAGACACACACACACACACATCACAGACACACACACACACACACACATCCACACACACACACACATGGCACACACACACACACATACACAGACACACACACTCACACACACACACATACACAGACACACACACATGCAGTCATAGTTTAGCTGTAACTGGGCTCTTGCTCTGGGCAGGTGGAGCTGGATCTGGAGAAGGGGCTGGAGATGAGGAAGTGGGTGCTGTCAGGGATCCTGGCCAGCGAGGAGACCTGCCTCAACCACCTGGAGGCGCTGCTACTGGTGAGAGACAGTGTGTGTGTGTGTGTGTGTGTGTGTCTTACAGGTGTTTCTAATGATGATGATGATGATGTTTATTATTGTTATTATTATTCATAGTAGTTGTAGTAGTGTTGCTGTTGCTCTTTATTTGTTTGTATGGTGTGCATTTATTTGTTGTGTGTGTTGGACTGTGTGGATTAGTGTGCATGATATGGAATTGTGGGTAATCTCTCCTCCGCCCATGTCTCTCTCTGTCTGTTTCTGCCTCTTTTCCCCTCCTTCTCCCTTTCTCTGTATCTGTTTCTGCCTGTCTTTCCCTCTCTCTTTCCCTCTGTCTCTCTCTTTCTCTCTCCCTCTCTCAGCCCATGAAGCCGCTGAGAGCAGCCGCCACCACCTCCCAGCCGGTGCTGTCCATGGCGCAGATCGACACCATCTTCTACAAAGTGCCTGAGCTCTACGATGTGCACAAGGAGTTCTATGACGGCCTCCTACCCAGAGTGCAGCAGTGGAGTCACCACCAGCGCGTCGGAGAGCTCTTCCACAAACTGGTGCGTGTGTGCCGCCATATGTCATAGCTCTGCACTCTTAGTACTGCACATACACCCAATGCTCAACACTATCATATTTTTTTAATCCGAATTCATGAGTTTTTTTTTATTTTGTATTTTAAAGGAAGGGTGAAATGTGATTAAAATATGACAGCCTTTAAAAAGGGTAATAATTGCAGTGGAAATTTCTGGGATAGCAATAATTTATTTAAATTTCATACATTGATTTTTATTTTCAGGGTAGGTGTTGTTGGTGGAAGATATATGCTGTGCTGCGTCCTGCTTTGCGAAATTTACCATGAAAGGACATGATTCACTTACCCAGTTCCAGTCAGAATGAGAGTGAATTTGAGTGAGTGAGTGAGTGAGTGAGTGAGTGAGTGTGTGAGTGAGTGAGTGAATTTGATTGACACTGTGGGTGGGCGTGTGAGTGAGTGTGCACTTGTGTCTTTTTAGTCTCCAGTGGATTTTAAACATGATACAGAACATGGCTGCCCCCAGATCACATTAATTCTGTTCAGAGTTTTTATTTTGTAATTAGTAGAAGCTGATTAGGCAGTTAAGCGGGAGAGTGATGTATTTCTCCGCTGGCCTGCAGCGGTGCCGGCGGCTCCATGGACCGGGATTGATAGCTAAACGAGCTAAACGAGCCTTTCAAATGCGGCGGCCGCGTGCTTTAACTTCCCTCCAAACACAGGGAATCCGCTGCCATGGCAACACCAGCGGGCCGAAAGCAGCAGTGGCAGCACAGTGTGTGTGTGTGTGTTAGAGTGAGTGTGTGTGTGAGTGTGTTTGTGTGTGTGTGTGTGTGTGTGTGTGTGAGTGTGTTTGTGTGTGTGTGAGTGTGTGTGTGTGTGTGAGTGTGTTTGTGTGTGTGTGTGTGTGTTTTTGTGTGTGTGTGAGTGTGTGTGTGTGTTTGTGTGTGTGTGTGTGTGTGTGTGTGTGTTTGTGTGTGTGTGAGTGTGTGTGTGTGTGTTTGTGTGTGTGTGTGTGTGTGTGTGTGTTTGTGTGTGTGTGTGTATGTGTGAGTGTGTGTCTGTGTGTATGTGTGTGTGTATGTGTGTATGTGTGTGTGTGTCAGTGTGTGTGTGTGTGTGTGTGTGTGTGTGTGTGTGTGTGTGTGTGAGTGTGTGGGTGGGTGGTGGGGGGAATAAGCAGCCCCAAGGCAGGCTCAAACCCGCCCCTCTCGTCTGTCATCCCACATCAGGGCGTGGCGGCGGTTTTAGCGGTTTCTTCGCCGTGACAAAGTCTGTGGTGGGATCAGTCGCATTCCGGGAAGCTCCTGTGGGAAAATCAATCCGATTACAGCCAGGGAATCAGAACCCTGACCTCAGACCTCGGATCCCCGGGGAAATATACTCGTCTGCGTCCAATAACGCCGCGTATGGCCAAAACACGCAGAACGTTCTGCACGCTGAGGGAGCTTGGCATTCCAGGCCCGTGTCTGCAGACAGCACCATGCACAGCATGCTGGGAATGCCTCAGAATGCTTCTTCGCCCCGTGCACCAAAACCAGCTGATTTCACTAATTAGCTCCCCTACCTGGCTGAGGAGTTGTGCTAATTACAGTCAGAATGAGCAGCATCGGTGGAACAAATACACTGGTAGCACTTCCTCTGATCTCCGAGTCCAGAATTTTCCTCCTCTGTTTCCGCATGAGTGAAGCTATTTGTCTACACAGCTGTGCAATGTTTCCTTCTCTTCTCAATAACCTGCCCCCCCCACCCCTCACTGCAGGCCAGCCAGCTCGGACTGTACCGGGCCTTTGTGGACAACTACAAGGTTGCCGTGGAGACGGCGGAGAAGTGCTGCCAGGCCAACGCGCAGTTTGCCGAAATCTCTGAGGTAAAGAAATAGATGGCAGTTGTTGGGACTCTGTCTGGTAAAAGGGTAAAGGAGTGCTCATGTGTCACTGGAAGAGATTCAGGAAAAAATCTGATTCAGAGCAGATTGAGAGTCGGATTCATGTTTAGGTCTATTATACTTTTAGTGTGCAAAATAAATTCCACAGCTCACAATAATAAACAGATAATAAGAAACAAAAACCGCCATGAAAGCAGAAGCAGAGCTGAAAAGCTCGGAGGGCATGGCCAGGTAGTCGCCCTGTCCTTTACCTGATGTCTTTGGCTGGCTGTGACCTTGAGAATGTCATTCAGCAGGGTGCCCCTTTCTGTGAAGCTTCGAGTCTCAGGGCACCATCTCAGGTCTTCCCCGATTTTGCACGCTGCAGCAAGCAGGAGAACGTATTTCATACAAGGGGAAAGAGAGTCAATTCTGCCAGCAGGGGCAAAGGTCATGAACTCTGAGTCACAGCAAGAGAGAGAGAGAGCTGGGGAGATAAGGAATACAGAACTGCAAACATCTCAGCAGGGGGAAGAGTCGATGGAGTCGGGGGGAAGGTTGGGGGAACGACAGAAAGGATTATGGGATACCTTTGTAAAGCTTGTGGTTCCATTCTCTCTACAATCTGCAGTCTTTCTCTCTCTCTTTCCCGCTCTCTCTCTCTCTCCCTCCCTCTCCCCGGCTCTCTGAGCATGTTGTCATAGCAACGATCATTGCCCGTGAGAATTCTGAGATTGTTTTGTAATTACACTGTAGTCTCTCCCCCCGGCCCCCCACATTAAATTGTAAATAAATAATTAATTGAATGTCTTGCTTATAGTGCTAATTCACATTTTTCAGGGGCTTGCCCATTAATAGGTAGTTCCAGGCCAATAAAGTAGCCCATAGATAGTCCAAGTTCTGGTGAAAAAAGCACTGTTAAGAGTGATAGCACCAGGTTTATACCTCTCTGCTATAAGCCTGGTGAAAGCAGTGCAGTTCAGAGTGATAGTGCCAGGTTTATACCTCTCTGCTATAAGCCTGGTGAAAGCAGTGTAATTCAGAGAGGTAAACCCACCCACTTTCTGGATGCAAGTACCATTTTATAACAAGTAAATAGTAGACTAAAAAGGTGGTGAGTCT